CTATTCTGGTTGCGCGCGCGCTAAAACGGGGGATTTTGCGGCGCGGCGCTAGTTTGGCGCGCCTGTTGGAGATGCTCTTTACAGCCTGTGACACATGGAAAATAAGCTGGTCGGATATTCAACAAAGGTAACAACAATTGCAACCCCTAATTTAAGTGGCTCAAAATTGAATCGGCAGCCCAACACATAAATTAGAGTGGCATCGATATGAAACGCGGGCAGGCAGTGCCTTGCAGCTGCAGTTTCAGGATGAAGTAACACGCATAAGCACACACAAAAAAAGACACAAAGAAATACCCTGGACGGGGCAGGAGTCACGGGACGCGCTGCTGGAATTTTATTTGCGATTGCTCGGCGATTTCAGGTCTGCTTTTCTCCGCCTCTTATCTTAGACTTGTTGCTGATCCCTCCCTAGACTTGAGTGGACGCGCCGTATTTAACTGCCACGGCAACGAACTCTGCATCCGGATTCCGGACCCGAATCGAGTACAGCTTCAGGCGAGAAAGAAAGACGGATTACAGCCAGTGCTCGAGTCTACAGAATCCACCCCAGAGTCCCATACATGGAGAGGAACGCGAGAGTCCGCACATCCGAATCACCGGAATCCGACTCTGAACCCACCCTAAATTGGTCTCAGCGGACAGCTAGCTAGGGCTTTGATTCCAGAACACACGCCGTATCTAGAGAAGAAGATGAGCCGAAGGCTGAGGCCGGCCGGCCGGCCGTCCTCCAACGGCTGCGCGCCGGAACGATGCATCGCATCCTCGGCGACCTCCTGCAGATGTGGGGTCGTCGGCGTGGCCGCCGCTACGGGGGAGCAGTCCACCGAACCAAAACACAACTCTGATTTTTCAGAAGAGTTTTTTTAATGCAAAAGAAGCGCTTGCACCCGATGAGAAAAAAAAAACAAAAAAGAAAAATACTAGAAAATTTCCATAAAAATTATATGGTAGATAATTAGTTGCGTGAGGTCCATTCCAATTTTTAGATAATTTGAAATTTGAGTAGCTCTCAGCAAAAGAGACAAAACATGTCAAAACAGTACATGAACAGTGAACCTTTTCACAAATCCTGAATTTGTTTTTTTTTTTTGCTGAGAACTGCTCAGATATTCAAATGACTTGAAAATTGGAGTGGACCTCACGCATCTAATTATCTATCACGCTCGGACTTCTTGACGATGTAGCGGCTTCGTCGGGGTACACAAGGGGTTGCCTCACGGGAGTACTCTTTTGTGGAGACCAGTGTCAGTGTAAAACCAACGCACGCTCGCATCGGCATGGCCGGTGTGGTTGGCGTCTCATCTCGACTAGAGGAGGGCTAGGGTTTCC